ACACACACACACACACACACACACACACACACACACACACGTTCCCTGAGATCTTATTTCTGTGTGTTGAAAAACAAAAGTGCTTTCTAATGAAATACAAGCTTCTCTCCTCTTCACTTCAAACTACTCTGCTACCAAACCTGGAAACCTATAGAGAGGCTGACAAAAATAATCTGATCAGGATGGCAAACATGGTTCAACAGCTGATTTACTTATTAAAACAAATCAGTAACTTGTGGTAACAAAAAACAGAAAACAAGAGGCCGCTCTGTGTTGAGGCAGCAGCCCTCCCTCTGCTATCATCTTCTCTGTATTGTCACTGCAAACTTTCTTCCTTCGTCACTCTTGTGTACATTCATAGTTCATAGCATGTTGAGTATAGGACCTGAAAACTCCAATCTGGGATATTGGAGTTTAAAGCCACCGTCAGAAGTTGATCTCTCTCATGCTGCGGGATACCTCGTGGAAATGTTTTTAGGTTGCAGAATGTTTCTTGCAGCTGTTTGCACAAACTGACAGCTTGTATATCCACACAATTATTACTCAGGGTTCCCAAGGGTCTTTTATATCCTTGAAAGTTTGTGAATTTGAGAAATGTCAAATCAAGGCCTTAAATATTTTTGAAAATAGAGATAAATAGTCATGGTTATTTGCAAATGCTTTAATCTTTGGTGGAAGAATACAAAAATAGAGATATATTCGATATATTTTTTACCTTGGGGTAATAGGCTTTGTGCCACTGCCTGCATTTGTCTCCTCTTGCTCTGTGACATTCACACATTCATATGTATTTTTTGTCTTGGAGCCTCTGTGAAGCCTGCTAGATGTCATTGAAAATATTGGTCCTTGATGTCAAGTGAATTGGGTCTTGAATTCAATGTTTAAGAAGTTGTGGGAACCCTGATTACCCAGATTAGCATGCATTACATAATGTTTATGTCCCACAAAGATATGTTGAAGTGCAAGTGATTATCATGTTTGTTTTTCTAAAAATATTTTTGGAACATTTAACAATGTTTGTGTATATCTGGCAGAAAAAAGCAACTTTACATGTAAATCATTACTGTTATATGTCCTATGACAGTTGAGTGAGAATGCAGAAAATATGAGTGTACTTATGTTCAAGCCCTGGCAAAAAGAAAATGAGACAGATTATCTATGATTAACTTAACCCATTCTTTGACCATGGTACATTTGACTAACTTGAGTTTTTTATGCTAGAGAACAGGGTCCTATAGATTGCATCAGGTAAGTCGATCTGTATTAGAATAGATAGTATTACATTAGCTTCTGGCTCTTGAAAATACAGTGGTGTGTCAAGACCATTAGTGGTAAAAGTAAAAAAAAAAACTAATACTGGTAAAACCCCTTAAAGGGACAGTACTGTGACAGTTGTTATACAAGTGTTGATGTGTGTGTGTATTATTCTCCAGAGGGTGTTATGCGCAGTAAGCGCCGCTGTGTCCTGGAGAAGAAACAGCCATACAGTGGAGATGAATGGTGCTCTGGACCTGACACAGAGGAAGATGAAGACAAGCCACACACTACGACCCACCGTGAGTCTGTCTACCTCCACTGGAGAGGAAAAACAGTGCCATTTGCTGTTATCTGAATGTACCGCTGGGCTCACAAACAATGGTGTCATTGTGGCCACAACTGTGAAGGCAGGATGAGTTACATGTAGAAATCCCCTGCCATGTCTCAGTTTAATTTGTTCTGAAAACAACAGGTTAAGGCCATAAATTATCCATTGCTGTGTTCAGATCCTGCACATACAGTGAAAGACAGAGGATGTCAGCCTTGAATGCTGTACTATCCCTTTTCACCAAGCTGACTTTACATGTGTCTTAGCTCCATCTAGTGTTAGGATGTAGCTAGAACGATGCACTGATGCAACAGTTCTGAACAAGGAGACCTCTTAGGATGAACCAAACAAATGTGCTGCTGGTTTTTCTTCAGGGGAGCGCGGGCTGGCAGGTCCTCTCCAGGGCCTTTCTGATCGCCTGTCAGTAGGGCCCATGCCTGAACCTGGGGGTCCTGTAATGGGATGTGGACTGGGACCAGGGCTAAAAGCAGAACCACCTCAGTCTTCACAGCAAGTGGTGTATGTTTTCACAACCAACCTAGCCAACAGGTGAGAACTGCTTGCAGACCTGTCATGCGGTGAAAAATATCTAGATTGTCTTTATCTGTTTTTTTTTTTTTTTACCTGAACATTGAATCATGCTACATCAGTCCTCATTTAGTTTGTATTTTTCCTCTATATCTTTGACAGTGCTGCAGAGGCAGTAATTAAAGGACAGACGGATTCCATTCTTCTGTTTCACCAGCAAAATGTTCCACGCACCAAGTTGGAGCAGGTCAGACTTCTACAGCTTAGTGGCAAATTAAACTAAATTTCAAGTTTGTGTTAAACCTGTTCAACCACAGGAGATTAAAAGTGTTTTCCACAACAAACACCACAGGGGGAAGTATTTGGTAGGGGAATTTATTTAGCTATGTGGTTCTTGGATAACTCTTTGTTCCTGTTTCCATTAGCAAGTGAAATGCACTGTTTCTTTTTGCAAATTTATATATTATAATATGATACAATATATATATATATAATATAATTAATTCTACTACTATTAATATTTATGTAATTTGAGTAGCAGTAGCATTTAGGTAGCTTGTTAATAACTTGTTTCTTTCTTTTCTTTTGTTTGCTAAAGGGCCACCCATTAGCAAAGCTTCCTAACATATCTGAGAAGGTGAACTCCAACAGCTCTCCACCAACAGGCACCCCAAAATCCCAAAGTGGAACTCCGCGACCAGCCTCCGCAGGAGTTGGAGGCCCATTGCACCGTGCAGGGACACCATCATCAGCAGGACATTCTGATAATGAATCCTCTCAGATCAGATCAGGCGGTGCCTCCAGCAATAATAGCAACGTCGCCCATAGGTCAGACGGAGGAAACTCGGCCACACCGGCAGGACCAGTTCCAGGTTCTGGAGATGGGGAAACTACAGGGGGTATGCCTCTTCCTGTTGCTACAGTTTATCCCTCAGAGAGTCCCTCCATCCTATCTGCACACTTACAGGGTGATATAGGCCAGAGGAGTGGCCCAGGGAACACAGATGGTCTCTCTAAAGAGCAGCTGGAACATAGGGAACGCTCTTTGCAAACGCTGAGAGACATAGAGAGACTGCTACTGCGCAGTGGGGCAAGTGGAGGCCCTGGAGAGACGGGTGGCTCCAACAACAATGCTACTAATAACTCTTCCAATCTAAATAATAACAACAATACTGACAGAAGTGCTATTCTTGAGCATAGTGATAATGGTACTAATAACCCTGGAAATTGCAGTAGCAGTAATATGCTATCGTCAGCCTTGGCTCCGATGGGAGGGATAAAGAAATATGAAGAACCCCTCCAGTCCATAATTTCTCAAACACACTCCCTTGGTGGACCTGGCCTTGAAAGCCCTCAAATGGACTCTCACCATAACCTACCACAACACCCCCACCACCAGCTGTCTTCACCTGGGGTTGATATGGGTCCGTTACTTGGACCTGAAGGGCTGACCCCTGAGCAAATGGCGTGGAGGAAACTTCAAGAAGAATACTACCAAGAGAAGAGAAGACAACAGGAAATGCAACCCCCCACACATCCACAGCACTTTAGAATGGTGACTGAGATGGGCGTTCATGGAGGTCCCATGATGATGAGAGGACCCCCTCCTCCCTACCACAGCAAGCCTGGAGACCAGCAGTGGGGTCCTGGCAATATGATAGGAGGAGGAATGGGCGGAAATGCACGAATGATAGACATGCACCAAGATGGACCACGTGGCCCGAGGTTCTTGGGACAGATGCAGAGAGGGCCACCTGGGGGAGGGGCCTTTCCTGGTAGTCCAGGGGGAGTTTTATCAATGGAGGGTCTAGGACCCCAAAGGCCCACCAGGCCAGGGATGATTTGGATAGACGACATAGGTGGAGGAGGTCCTTTTCATGGCTGCTATCCTGGTGGGCCTCCTCAGCACTTACAGGGAGAGCAAGAGCATCTGTTAACACGTGAGGAAATGTTTCGCATCATGGAGAAACGGCAAATGCAGGGGCTTCCCCGGTTTGAACTTGACCGATTAACAAAACAGCAGCAACAGGACAACCTGGGCTCAAGAATGATGGATAATCCTGGCGGCCCAGACTTTTCCAATTTGGGAATAGGTCGAGGCCCACCCTCCACGAGAGGAGATCCAATGGACTTTCCTGGCTCACGGGAGATTATGGGCTCTCCTGGTGTGGGTCCTCAGATGAGAGACATGTTGGATTCTCCTCTGGGGAGCAACCTCACAATGAACATGAACCCACAAATGAATGTTCAACAACAGCAGCAGATGATGCTATCTCAGAAGCTCAGAGGAGGAGCTTTGGGCGAGATGTTTAGTCCTGGAGAGATTGCACGAATCAGGGCTTCACAGAATGGAAGAGGAGGAAATAAAGGAATGATCCCAGGACCTGATGGTCCATTCCAGTTTCCCAATCAAGGTCCCTTTACCGGAGGACAGGTGGAAGGATCCTATCTTCAACAACCCGGCCCTGCAATGTTTGGGTCCGACCAGCAAGGACCTAATCATATGGGAGGTACGTCGCGGCTCAGTCACATGCCAATGACTGGAGGCCTTAGGGGAGCAGATCTTGGTCCTAGGCACCCCTCTGACCTATCAATCAATGTTAAGCCTCTGACATCTCCTTCAGTGCCTCCTCCTCATCAGCTTAAGTCACCATCCCTCAATCAAGAGCCATCTCCTCTTCTACTTTCCCCCTCTGCTCCAGGACTGAAGTCACCCTCACAGATCTCCTCTGCAGGCCACCACCCCCCTCTCCCCCCTGCATCTGGTGCTGGGACTCCGTCCTCTTCTTCCATGAAGTCTCCCCAGGTAATGGGTTCTTCCAACCTTGGCTTGCACTCTCCGTCTGCCTCTCCTGGACGTCTTAAGTCCCCAGCAATGGCTGTGGGTTCGCCAGGGTGGTCATCTCCTAAAACAGCTCTTCCAAGTCCAGGTGGTCCAACCAGTGGGAAAGTAGTGGGCAATGGAGGAAGTAGTATTACTGAGACAGGTATGTTTAGAATAGATGACAGTCTAAACACACATCTGTGTTCCCAGCACTGATATCTGATCATCATGCTGTTCCTCATATTACTATTGCTGTAATATTCATTGTTTTTTATGTTCTTTGCAGGGCAATCACTTCACCCCAGAAGTTCCAACTCTACCCCCATTAGCCAGCCAAGCTCTATGAATCCTAGTATGCCATTTACCTCCTCTCCTGATGCCCCTCCATCTCAAAATCCTTTATCCCTTATCATGTCTCAGATGTCCAAGTATGCCATGCCCAGTTCTACTCCTCTCTACCATGAAGCAATCAAAACAATTGCCACTTCCGATGATGAGATGATGCCTGATCGACCTCTTCTATCTGGTGTTAGCATTGGAGGTAAGAAAACAAGGATACGTTGTGAAGCTCCCTACTATTCTGCAGTATGAGGAAATGAAGCAATGCAATAGCTCTGGGTCATTGTGTAATTTGAAAGAATGTTGTGTTCATTCTTAAATCTGTATTTTTCACTTACAAAATCATTCTGTTATTGTAGTAGTACTGTTTAAAAATATGAATAGGCATTCATTTAATATTTCATTAGTGTATCATGTTGAGAAAGTGGAAGTCCATTTTAAATATTTCATGGGATTTTTCATATGCTGGCCTTGTTTAATCAACAGGAAACATTGGAAATCTCCAGACCTCCCAGATACTTGTCTCCCAGGGCTCCATTGGCCCGCACAGTGATCCACAAAGCCCCATGGGTGTTGTAAATCAAGGTCAGCAGCACCTGTCCCATGATGCTTCAGGACCTGTTCTCTCTTCTCCAAACCAAATGGGTCTACCTGCCATGAATTCTGCCATGATGGGAGGAGGCGGACGTGATGGAATGGGGCCATGCAATGTTTCCCCCATATCTCAAAACCAGATGGCAGGTTTTCCTCGCATGCAGCCACCATCTCATGGGCCCATGCACTCACCTATTGGAGGAATGTCACATAATTTCTCTCAGTCTAATGAGGATAGTCTGCCACCCCAGCAGTTACACCTGTTGAGCAAAGGTCATCCTCACCAACGACCCTCTCACCCCTCAGACTCTTTTGCCTCTCTGCCCATGGGGGAAGGCCCAGATCTTAGTGAAGTCATACGTCCCACTCATATGGGGATCCCTGAATTTGACCTGTCCCGCATCATTCCTTCTGATAAGCCCAGTAGCACTCTTCAGTATTTCCCAAAGAGTGAGCAACATCAGAATCCACATCAGGGGCCACCATCCCAGCAGCCTACTCCCCAGCAGCTCCTCAAACAACTGTCTTCTTCTGGTCCTTCATCCAACCCCCATTTAGCAAACCTACAGAATATGATGGCTGAACAGCAGCTGCCACTTCACCCTTCACATGGTGGGATACGCCAAAGCATGGGTATTCATCAAGGGGGCTCTAGGGTTATGGTTTCGGGCGGGGGCATGGGCCCCATGTGCCCCCCTGGACATATGATGGGAAGGACAGGCATGGTACCCCAGCAGCAACTCCAGCAACAGCAAGCCATGATGGCCAACAGTCTTCTCCACCATCCTTCCAATCCATATCCTGGCATGATGACCTCTCAGCAGCACCCACACAATCTGATGGCACAGCAAAACATTATGATGATGCAGGCTAAGCAGCGAAGCATGTCAATTCCAGGGGATCCGTTCGGCCCCCAGGGTCCTCTGATGTCCCCTCAGGGTCCCATGATGGCCCCTCCCCATCCACAGTCAGGTATGATGGGCCCCCAGTCTTTAAGACAGCGGGGAATGTCTCTGGACAGTCCTATTGCCTACGGCCCTGGAGGCATGGCCAATATGCCATTCTGATCCAACTTATATAAGCTGTTAAAAAAAAAGAAGAAGAAAGTGTCCACAGGTTACGTCCCCCATCGTGTCCAAATTTTTTCATTAATGTTATTCTTGCGGCTGTTTGAAAAGAGGAATGTAAAAATAATGTATCAGTGATAATCTTAAAATTTTGGATAACAGCTGATAAAAAAATGTAATATTTAAAAGCACTGTATCATGGTTTAGTCCCAAATCTGAAGCCATTTTCTAAAATACTGTAACATATGTATATTTATAAGATGTGTGTATTTGTTGTGGGAACAGAATGGCGGTCAGGAGAGGAGTGCCTCAAATTTATATTTGTTTTAATATCATTGATTTATTTTCTCCAACTACCAAACTGTTGTGCAAAGGAGTTATATATGTATATATGTATGTGTGTATGTAAGTATATATACATACATACACATATACACACACATATAATATATACTTGCTGTATATAAGATGCAATTTGTGATTGTTTGCAGTTGGTCTGTATAGCTGTGTTTTAATAGAAGTCTAAAAATAGAATAATACTGATCTCTAAGGTGGTTTCCATTATTGTGTTGTCAGTTACTGTTGTTTGATAACACTGACGAGGGGCAGAGTGGTTGTATAACATATTCAATCTTTATTAAATTCAATTTGCAGCTGCTAAAATACAAGCAAAAACAGATTCAACCATCAAACTTTTTTTTCTTTCTTCATTTCTGGGAAAATAAAACATCTGTAAAATACAATGGGTACTGTATTATCAAAACATCTTGGAATATTTTAACATGATTTATCATTACATGTGAAATATTATCGAAAAGAATCATTGTAAGAGAGTTTATTTAGATTTGTTTTGTTCAGATATTTGTGCTGATGGTTGCTGCTCCATCAGAAATGGATGGTCGACTTTGACCCTGACTTCTGATGAACGGAAGACAAACAGGGCTGCATCCAAGTTGACGCAGTAACCGACTCAACTCTTTTCGAAACTGCACCCCAATGAAGGCATAAAGGAAGGGGTTCAGGCAACAGTGTAAGAATCCCAGACTCAGGGACACATCGAGGGCGGCTCGCAGCAGGGCAAAAGTTTGACAGCTTTCATAGTGGATGACCTCCAGGTCTGACAGAGTTTTTATCAGTAAGGTGATGTTATATGGGAGCCAACAGAGGCAAAAGACAAGAGTGACAAGTAAAGCCAGTCGCATGGCTCCTTGCTTTTGTTGGCTTTTCTGACTGTTGCACAAAGTAACTACCACTGCTGTGTAGCAGTAGCTCATGACAGCCAGAGGTACGAAAAAGGAAATGTGATCGAAGACTCTGTTGGTCAAAACCCAGTTGTGTCCATGGATGTCATGATGATAATAGAGACAGTAGAGGCTGGATGTGTTAGTTTGCTCCTCTCTCACAGAAAGAAACACAAAATTTGGAGCTGATAAACCCAAACAGACAAGCCACAGTAAAATGCAAGTTACATGCACTGCTCTCGGACGCCGATTTCGCATGCTGGGAATGGCATGAACGATAGCCAAATACCGATCAAACCCAATGCAAGCTAAAAGGAAACTCCCACAGAGGAGATTGAGATGTTTCATCAGGCCCATCAGCTTGCAGAGAAAATCCCCAAACAACCAACCAGCGACGAAGTCGACCACATCGAAAGGGAACGTTAAAAGGAGCATGAGGTCAGCCAGGGCGAGGTGAAGTAGGTATATCTCAGTGATGCGCAGGAGACGCCAACGTCTCAGGAGGACTGTTATCATCAGACCGTTCCCTACCACACCCAGCAGGAAGATCAAGCTGTACAACACAGGCTGGAACACAGTGCCGAGGGTCTGCAGGCGCTCCTCTTCTTCTTCACAGATATAGACTGGGAGGTCGGAGACGTTCTGTTGACTATAGTCTGTGTCATTCTCATATTCTCCGTAGTCTGTCAGCTTTAAAATATAAAGGGTGGGTGTTAGTTTTAAGGATCTCATCACATTACACACATTACTTTGAGTGATGTGGGATAATACACAATTGTACATTTGATTGAATTTGGCTAAATTCTAATAAGTAGTTTTGATAACGAAATGAAAAAAAAAATACTTTGAAATGCTTTAGAGAATTACTGCCTTGATGTTTTGGTCTGCCACCTTCAGTATTCTTAGTCAAATTATTCAGGAAACACTGAACAGGACACATTTTTTCACTTCCCCTTCACAGTCACGAAGAGAGCAAAAATAGCAAAACATATTCACTATCTTGTGCAATTTTCTAAAATAAAAAAATCCCTAGTTGATAACCCAGTTAATAATATGTCAGATGGAGAAATCACCACTAGGAACCTGTAACTTTAAATGAAGGGATACAAAAAAATGAGTGTTCTTTCTAAACATCTTTTTTTCATACATAACAAAAGTGTAAAAAAACTAATTAAAATTAATATATAATAATAATAAATATATTGTCCAAATATATTCATAATTCCACACATTACACTGAATGCATCCTCATGAACTTCACTGCATTCCAATATAATGTTATAATAGAATAATTAACGTTGTTGCTTTAGAATAAGACAGATGAATAAATATGATATTAAGATATATTCATAAGCCTCTTTTTGTAAACCAGATAAACATCTTATGAGAGAAAAAATAAACATGATATTCCAATAAACGCACTATATGAATTAATTAGAATTAAGAAGTTCATGACTGCTTCATTTTAATGATATCAGAATATTTTACCATATTTTCATCATGTTTTGTCGTCTACAATAAGTAAATGTATACATTGGATTCACTTTGTAATCAATGTATATCATTAGAGATAAGAACATTTTAAAATACTGTATCACCCTTCTCTCAACTCAGGACAAACCGTATAAATAGTATAAACAGTATAAATATATATTTCAGTAATTTTCATCTCACTTATTTCCTTGGAGAGTTGACAGGAAGGCAGCTAAATACACCCAACGTAACTTCCAAACATCTGTTGAGATGCATTTCTTCTTTTTACGGTTCAGTAATTCAGACCAGAGTTGTTTGTGAGTTATGTTTCTCAGCTTTGTGACAATTAAATCCTGAGTTGAAATCTTACTCATAGGAAGAAGCTTCATTTCTCTTGTTACCTAAAAAAAACCTTTTGTTTACAAGGCCAGAGGCTGCAACTGTGACTTTAAAACATTGTTTTGAGGAATCAAAAAAATGCTGTGTTTGAATGTCCAAATTTTAATTTATAGCAGATGTGATAATTCTGAAAAACCCTTATAGCTCTAGAGAAACTAACCACTCACTTTGTCAATTATTAGTCATGTCTTACCGTGGAAAATGCAAAAGTCCTTGTCACTGCCATGTGGATAAATCTTGGTCAATTGAATGTTTACCTCACGCTGCCGTAGTGAAATGTTCCAAACTTCCTGTTAATGCTGGTTCTTATATATTGCTTTGCTATATTTTTGTCTCTAGGGGTTTAGCTGTTACCCGGGGGGCCCGAGCTTTATTGCAGCCTCTCTATAGTAAACATATAGAGCCATAATTCAAGTACAAGTAACTACAGAATATTGTAGCTTTTATATAAGAGACAATTTAACTATCAGGTTTATATTGTTATTTCTCAAATCATATTTGAACACAACATCCAGGCATGTTTTCATTACATTAACTGTAAGAAGAGATACATTATTGATCCCTCAAGGGGAACTTCTTTTTACACGCATTTTTTAAACCCTGGTTTGTGATTTTCTGTGTTTTTGATTGCAACATCATGGAGGTAAGACTTGGCCAAAGCCTATTAATAACTTACCTGCAGTATCTTACATGTCTGTCTGGTTAGTGAAGTGGGCTGATGACCACAGGGTTTAATTATCTGCAGTTGGTTATGCGGGAGATAAGATAACATTTTATTGAGACAGCAGCACAAAGAAATAGAAGTGCAAGGGTAAAATGTAAGAACATTAAATAGGAATACAAAAATAATAAAAATAGAAATATATACAGTAAGAATATGGAATACAGTAGGCTCAGCATGTGCAAAAATACATGGCGCTTATGTATTTGTGCAAAATGTCTCTTTAAGACACTGAAGTGCTTTTGAGCAAAACATCATCGTCATTAAATTCTTTATTATTGTCATTTTCATGTCAAATTTAATAAAACAAAACACCATCTAGCCCTTTAACGATTTGTACAAAGACACAGGTTACTTCTGCAATTGTATCTACACAAATACAACCGAGATATCAGGATCGGAAATCCTTAATT